TCAGAGGAACACCCTGTCCATCACCCCCGAGCCAGGTCACCCAAATGGCACCCAGGCTAAATGGACCTAAGCTGAGCTTATTTACAGGAGAAGCCTCTGTCAGTCAGGGGATGGTTTGGAACTGGGAATCTGCTTCCTTCTTGGAGACACATTTGTAATGTAAATCACCTCTCCTGAGATGAATAATCTGAATGCTTTCACCTTAACTGGTTTAATTTGAATTAATTCCAATTCTAATTCTAATTCCAATTCTGATTCCAATTCTAATTCTATTTCTATGCTGTTCTATTTTTGGGTCTCTTGATTCCTTCCTTAAAGCAGAAAGGTGCCCTATGATGCACCAGGTAGAGGTGTATCTTGTGCAGCCATAGACCTTCACTCCATGTGTCTCCAATCCCACTACAGTGTGTCAGGTTTGATGATCAAATGGACTCTTTCCTCTCAGAGCACTGTGAAAATACTGTTMATTGTAATATTGTTAATTACCTGTTTTGACAGCAGCTCTTTGCAGAGCGTGTAGAGAGTGATGAACTTTCTTGCCAGGAGCCTGGCTTCAAGAAATCCCTCTGCCACAAGCATGATTTCGCAGATCAGTTCAAAATCGGGGACCACCATGGCACAGGGTCTAGAGGAGAGCAGCAGCAGCTGGCAGGGCTGTTCACCCTGTCCTTACCGTCCCCCAAGGTTTGTCCCCAAGTTTCCAGTACAAGCCAGTGGCTGCAGTTGCACTGCTGGGCTCCTTCTCCAAGCAGGGCTCATGTCCCACCACATTGGGGCACTTCTGCAGCCTTGGGTTGAGTTTCTCCAAGGACAGGGGTCCCTGTGTATCCCTGTGCCTCCCCTTCCAGTGCTTCATCACCTTTTGGTCCTACTCTCAATTGGATTTCTAGTTGAGGATGGCAATTAGAGCCAACTGAGCATCCTCTCCCGTTGCTGAGCAGCCCYGCTCATCCCCCCTGGCCATTTCTAGGGAGTGACAGGACTGTCACGTTGTGCCCAGGGCTCCCTCACACCAAGCCCTCGGCTGGGGTCCCACAGTGGATGTGGCACACAGTGCCAGCACCGAGCCAGGCGCTGCAGTGACTCTGACCCACCTGAACAGAGCTTTCAGGTTCTCGGGCAGCTCCGTGCGCCCGGCGTACCCGGGATTCATGGTGATGAACAGCCCCACTGATGGCACCAGGGAGATGGTCTCCCCAAGGAAGTTGAATGTTTTCTTCTTGGCACGGATTGCATCTTGAATACATTTTACCTGCCCGGTGAGCAGAGGTGTTGGTGCTGGCACTTCCCAGCTCCGTGCCCAGTGCCCCAGGGTGAGCCTGAGRCTTTGGCTGTGCCAGGAATGACACTGAGATCTTGCTGAAGCCACAGCAGCAGGAGAGCTGGCCTTAAACCAGCGCCTTCCTAATCACCCCAACTCCCTGTCCCGGATGATGGCAGAGCTGGGGGGTGACAGGTCACCAGGATGGGACACAGTTTAACTGTGAGCAAATGCACTGCTGTGCTTCCACCTCCCACCCGTGTCCTAATAGGACACAGTGGAGACAACAGTAGCAAACTGTCCTGTGAGCCAGATTGAATTGGGGCAGCATCCAGGACATGAGCTGGGGAGTCTCTTTAGCACCCAGAGCCRCTGGGTTGTGGGGACAGCACGCACCTGCACCGCAATGACAGACAGGACCTCCACCAAAATGCGGTTGAACTCATCAAAGCAGCCCCAGGCGCCTGTCTGGGCAAGGCCTTTGTAGATGTTCCCACAGGACTGGAGAGAAAGAGCAGCGGGAGGGGACTCAGGCACTGCCACCCCTCTATGCCACCCCTCTATGCCACCCCTCTATGCCACCCCTCTATGCCACCCCTCTATGCCACCCCTCTATGCCACCCCTCTGTGCCATCCCTCTCAGGCACTGCCATCCCTCACGGCAGCGGCTGTGGGGGGTTTGGTGACAAAGCTGACAAAGTTTGCTGAGTGCTGCTTGTGCTTTACGGATTGTGCTCTTCCCATGGGCCATCTCCCACAGTGATAGAGCTCCCTTGCTGCCACAGACCCCAAAGAAGCCCCCATTGTCTTGGGGCACTTCAGTGCCACCATCCCGTTGTCCCGTGCCCTACCTTGTAGTCCATCTGCTCGGAGCAGTTGAACACGTAGACCATGATGCCCACGGCCCTGCCCAGGTCCTTGGTGGTCTCGGTTTTCCCGGTGCCCGCGGGGCCGGCGGGGGCTCCCCCCATGTAGAGGTGCAGGGACTGGGTCAGGGTGATGTAGCACCTGGGGAGCGAGGGAGCTGGGGCTCAGCATGGCCTGGGGGGCTGGGGGAGAGCAGAGGGGCTGGGGGAGAGCAGAGGGGGCTGGGGGGCTCCAACCTGTCTGTCAGGGGGGTGATGACCAGCCGGGGCGTGTTCCCCAGGTACTCATACGAGTAGGTGAGCTGCGCGTCGCAGATGTTGGCGTAGCAGTGCTTCATCCCCTCATCCCAGCGGTGCCGCAGCTGCGACTGCCAGGCAAACGCCTGGGAATTCTCCACCTGTGGAGCAGTGGGTGGAGGGCAGGAGGGCACGGGCACTGCCCCCTGGACAGCCACACAGCCCTGCTTGGGAGTGTTCTGCACCTCCCAGTGCAAGGAGAGTGAAACGGGTCCTGGTGCTGTGCTGGCATCCTTATCCCTCCTCATGGCCCATCAACCATCAACCTATGTGCCCAGCCCGAAAATAATAGAATGACAGGAAACCTGTGCTCCAGAATTCTGAGGGATGGTGCAGCAAAAAYACCCTCCTGTACTGAATACCTTTGTTTGGATCATTTTGGCCACAACGTCCCTCGCATGGACATCAATGGTGCAGATTGTCATGATCTTCATTCTGTCTCCAGCACTCAGGTTCCCAAGGAGCAGGGAAATCAGGGCATTCAGCCGGGCGATCTGGGGAAGGACAGAAAGAATGGGTGTAGGGATGATGCCCTTGTGTGCCCACGAGGTTGGGCAGAGAGGCTCGGGCCAGGTGCAGTCAGCTCTGGGTAATGCCCACCTGCTTTTTGTTATAATCCTTCAGGGCATTTTCATAACCTTTCTCCAGGCTGGCGAAGGCTACCCCAACTTCTGAGGTCCAGGCAATCTGGGTGCATGTCAGAGCGATCTGCAGCAAACCATGGGACACACGGCCATAAAGAGGAACCGTCACCCTCACCATGGCTCAGAGTGGTCACCCGTGCCTCCCGGGGCTCTGTGCCCCCTCCTGCTGCTGTCCCTGCCAGCCTGGCCCCGCAGCAGCACCCACCTGTGCTGGGTAGTCAAACACCCACTCTTCCCGTGGTTTCCCCTCGTAGGTGCCCAGTGCCTGTGGCATGAGGTTCCTGAGCGTCGAGCGCATGCGCTCCAGCAGCCGGTTCAGCCAAACCTCCACCTGCGGGGCCACAGCAGCCCTGAGTGACCCCTCCCTGGCACCAGGACCAGCCCCAGCACACAGAGCCTGCTGCTGGTCCCACACTCTGACAGGGGATGGTCTGAGGGACAGCAGCAAAGGGTAACACCCTGCACCTCTGCAGGTGGAGATTCACATGACTGTGACGTTCTGTGCCTACAGTGCAGGTCTCATTTCTGGGGTTTTTGGCCGAAAACTTTGTATTTTTATATTCCTGCCAGGCTGTTAGAGCACAACCAGCAAAAGGCTCGTCCCCATCCTCAGCCTGCTCCCCACCCCAGCACACAGAGGCTCCACCAACCTGGCCRGACAGGTCACAGTCTGCATCGAAGGGCACGTACTCCCCGTCCCGGCTGAACATCCCATGGGCCATCTTCTGAGGCTTGTTGTCCGAATCCAGCTGGAACTTCAGCTTGGCCAAACTGTCAAACAGCTTTGTCAGGTGCCGTGACACCTGAGAGCAGAGGAACAGCCACTGTCAGGACCCCGTGATGTGTGGAGGTGCCATCAGCAACTGGATCCACCCCAGAGCGCTCCCTGGCACTGCATCCCCGGGGAGGGGGACCAGGAGTGGAGCTCTGTCCATGGGAGTGAAAAATGCTCTAAAACTGCTCAAACAAGTTAGCAGGGAAATGGCACAGGACTCCCCCCGTGCTCACACATAGCTCATACCTCAAGGGGCTCAGTCCCCTTTGATAAAATATCCAGTAGATCCGCAGAGGAGACAAAGTAGAACCGGGGAAAAGCCAATCTTTTGGTCTCGAGGTATTCWGCTAAGGCCTTCTCACAGAGCACCAGCCTGGCAGAAAACAGGGAAAAACCATKAACCCTGACTCTTTGCTTTGCCTTGTCTTGCTTTGGCAGRWTCACCCCCTTCCTTTGCCCCCACARAYRCTTCWCCAGGATGACCTGACCCCCACCTGCCCTGCAGATCGTCCAGACTAGCTGTAAGCCCCGGCTTGTTGGTGCATTCAATCACATTGGGGGTTTTTACTGCGTCAGCCATCAGTGCCTGAAGAGGAAAAACACTTCAGCCCAGCTGAACTGGCAGAGAGCTGCAGGGAAAACGAGGGGGGAATGGGCTTCTCACTCGGAAATCTTGGTCGATGGTATCAAATTTCTTGGACTCCTCTGGCAGTTGGCTGCGGGTGTCTTCAGATGCTATGAAAATTGTCTCCAGATGACTCCACTTCCTCTGCACCTCAAACCACGTGTTGATAACAGTGTCGGTGGTCGACAGCTTCTGCTGCCATTCCTGGCCCCTCTGAAGGAAGAAGGCTCGGTACTTGGAAGCCAACACGTTCTGCAGCTGCATTTGGTTGTCCTCCAGAGTCTCAATGAGCTCCTCATCCATCTTGAGCAGCGGGAGCTGGGTCCTGCTGTGGGGYTCATACTCAAACTCCAGCGTTGCCCAAGTAGTGTCCAGGGCATTCAGCACCTGCAGTCAGGACATGAGGATGAGCTGGGTGCCGTGCTGCTGGGGACAGGAACAGCAGGGACAGCAGGACAGAGGAATTCCTGTTCCAGGCATGGGCTCCACCAGCTCCATGTGGACTGCAGCCCCAGGGAGCGGAGCATGAGCCCTCGACAGCAGAGTCACAGTGGCACAGGGGTCTCACAAAGCAGGGGAGGAGCTGAYCCCATTTACCTTCTCCATCCCTGCCTCCTTCGTGGCTTTGTCCACAATGCCGCGAACCTCCTCCTCAAACTTGTGCAGGTTCAGCTGCAGCAGATCTGCGAGGGTGGTGTTCTCAGACATGGTGAATTCCACCTGGAGCAGAACCACGTGGGCCATGGACTCCCCTCCAGAGAGAGCCAGTCAGTCCAGCAGCTCACCCAAACGAGCTCATCAACACATCCACATTTAGAGATTCTACACAAATAATTGCACGTGGCCAGATTTAAACCTGACGGCACCCTTCCCTTGTTGGGTGCAGATCTTGGGAGCCTCCTGGGCCAGGGATGGGGAGAAGGACTCGTGAGAATGGGAGGAGGACTGGTGAGGATGGGAGGAGGATTCGAGAGGATGGGGAGGAGGACTCGAGAGGATGGGGAGGAGGACTCGAGAGGATGGGGAGGAGGACTCGAGAGGATGGGGAGGAGGACTGGTGAGGATGGGGAGGAGGACTGGTGAGGATGAGGAGGAGCACTCGTGAGGATGGGAGGAGCACTCGTGAGGATGGGGAGCAGGACTCTGAGGATGAGGAGGAGGACTGGTGAGGATGAGGAGGAGCACCTTGGTGGTGTGCACGAGCTCCCGCCAGTGCCGGTCCCTGATTGCGGGGTTCTGCAGCTCGCTCACGGCGCGCAGCGATGTCATCATGTTCTTCATGCTGCTGTCCAGCCCTATGAACGCATCCCAGCTCTTCACCTCCTTGTCCAAACTCCGGATGTCTTTAGCGAATTTCTTGCACTCGATATCCATGTCCTCAACGTTGAGCTCGCTCCACYTGGTTGTGTTCCAAGTGGCGATGCTCAGCTTCACCTAGACTCAGGATACAATTTCATGATGTGAWTAGCAGAAGCATCGAGAAGAAGAGCAGCATACCCAGTGCCTGCATGCCCCGTGTGCTCCCTGGCCCTCCCACACGGGCTCTAAGTGTGACAACCTGCCCAATGTCCCAYGCTCCTGGTGGCAGTCAGCTCTCTGAGAAGCTGCAGCAGCTCTGCACCTTTGGCTGGCAATGCCCAGCTGTGCCAGCCAGGAGCAGCCTGCTGTCCAACCCTTGTCTGGACGCAGCATTAGCCATTGTTGTGCCTCCAGACCACAGCACGTACCAGGTCCACCATGTCCCAGAGCTCCTTGAGCAGGCGCAGCTCCCTGCGACACGCTTTGAGCTGTTTGTACTCGGGCAGSGACACCTCAAACAGCGTGGCTGAGGTGGACAGGGCTTCCATGTCCTTCTCCAAGACTGC